ACCCCGCTTCCCAGCAGCCCTCGAGGTAGTGGCCCCAAGATGGCACTTATGGTGGCAACAGCAATGGGGAGGGGCTGCAGGGCTCCGGGCGGCTGCAATGACAAGGGCCCCAGCAGGAGTGAAGGGGAGGCAGCTGTGCCAGCTGCCAGATCCTGCTTTTTCCCAGCACCCAGCAGCAGCTTGTGCTCAACTGCTGCCACCACTGCCACCACCACCTCTGCACCAGGGTTGCTGTTGCCAAAGCCAGGCATGACTTGCCCCTGCTGAAGCTGCCACTTGTCCATGCCCACGTCAGCTCCTTGCCAACCTGCAGCCCCATCCCACGTAGGGAGTTTTGGTGAGCTGTTGGGCTGCGGAGGGGGGCAGCTGACCTGATCTGCAACAGCTCCCCAAAACTCCTTCTGTGGCTTGCAGGCCCAAATCATTGCCCACCCCTAGTTTAAAATGTCTGAAAGCTAAAAAGTAATGTGGCTTTGGCTTGAGGCTAAAACTTCACTCTTTTTTTGGCAGCTGCGGTTCCAGAAACTCGGATGAATAGTGAAGATGCAGAGAAACATCGTGCCCTTTTGAATGCCATGAAAAATATGGTGGAAAATGCCCAAACACCATGGCCCCAAATATTTCTGTTTAGGGCCCTTCTTAACATCCATGGGGTGAACATCATGCAGAAGGTTCTTGAGAGAGAGCGGTGGATTTTGCCAAGAGGATGTGAAACTTCAGAGGTAAAGCTCTGTCCAAGTAATGTGAGATTTCTGTGCTGACAGAAACTGTCTGAGGGTTTGGATCCCCTTTCTCTAGTGTCTAACAAAGGAAGTTGTTGCCTTTGAAAGCTCATGCCTCTCTGAACCAGTTAGTCTCTAAGGTGGCACGTTGCCCTAACTTCTGTTCCTACCCAGGCAATCCTCCTTTTGGCCATAATGGAGCTTTCTGAGCATGCTCAAAAGGACGAGTGTAGCTGTGAAGAGGGAAATTATAGGGCTGTGCGAAGCTTCGGGTGCTGATCGAATTTGGAGGAGATTCGGCCCAATTCTGCGGCCAAATCTTCAAATCCAAATCAAATCAGGAGACCAATTAAAAGGTCCAAATCGATTCAAAGATCTCTGAATCTATTCAGAAAAGATTTGGAGAGCTTCGAAGACTCGGGCAGTCCCCACTCACTGCTGGAAGAGGGGCGAGGGGACCATGGGGGGATCCTCACCAGCCCCCATCCCCTGCTTGCTCCCCCAGCCCCTCCAGAGCAGCTAAAATGATTATGTAGCAAGGTCCTTGTAAAAATGAAGTGGGATTTGGTTGTAGAATAATGCAAGCAATCAAATAATCAATTAGTAACTGAGAATGCACCATCTTAATGTCGAAGAAAACTGTGTGGATTATCCTTCAAGTGTAATTGGACATGGCTGCTGACCTTTTGGTGTGTGATGATCTTAATGCTTCTGCTATGGACATAGCCGCCTTCTGATTAAAACATTTTTTTCCTTAGTTCATGGACACCAGGTCCAACAAAACCCTGATGATTTCAGCACTAGGCAAAGCAGAAGACCAGCTTAATGGCATAAAATCGGAAGCGGCCAAGAATCTGACTGTGAGTACTGGTTTTACATTTAATGTAAAACGTCTCATTTTGGTTTGTGATGCATCAGCTGAACCCAGCGGAGAGAATTCCTTGTGACAATGTACACGGGACAAGGATTTGACCCACGGGATGAGAATGGTTTTAGTCAGGGTCTCACTTGTGTGCCAGCAACTCTGCACCGGGTGGTTTACATCAGAAGCGTGAGATGTGTCAAGGGTTAGGGATCTGAGGAAGTCTAAGCGAAGTGCATATCCCACAGTTAAATTGCAGAGGCAATTTAACTACGGATGGTGCTGAGCAGTCTGAAGCGTTCTTCAAAAAGCAAATCAGCTACCCGATGAAAAACGCAGCTGGTAACAAGGACAGGGAAGGAGAGAAACAGCTTAGTGTAGTGGAAGAGCAAGTTAGGGATTACAGGAAATCCTCGCTATTTGCACGTTTGGCATTCGTGGTTTCGAATATTCACAGTGCCGCGCCAGCCCACGCTCTCTCCCCGCTGGCAGCGTGACGATGCTGTTACAGTGCCAGCGGCTGAATGAGATCCCAGATGACTGGAAAAGAGCAAATATAGTGTCCACCTTTAAGAAATGGAAAAAAGGAGGATCTGGGAAATTACAGACCATTCAGCCTGACCTTGATGCCGGGAAAGAACATGGAGTAGGTCTGCTTCTCAGTACCGGGAGGAAAACAAGGTGATCGGTAACAGGAATTCCTCTGCAATAAGTCATGCCCGAACAATTTCATTTTCTTCTATGACAAGGTGGATGAGGGGAGCCGCAGATGGGACGCCTTGACTTTAGCAAAGCTTTTTACATGGTCTCCCACAACATCCTCATTAGCAAGCTAAGGAAATGCAGACTTGATGCAATTACTATAAGGTGGATATGTACATGGTTGGATCATCCTGCTCCAGGGAGTGGCCATCAATCTCTCCTGACTAGGAATGAGGCTTTCCAGAGCTCTGTCCTGGATCTAGTAATTAATGATTAGTAATTAATGACCATCCTCTAAATCATTAATGATTAGAAATCATTAATGATTTAGAGGATGGGTTTGAATACATACTTGGCAAATTTGCAGATGACCCCAAGATGGATGGTGTTGTCCTGGAGGGTAGAATTAGGAGTCAGAATGAGCCTACTAAACTGGATACATGGTCCAAAATAAATTGAATGAAATTTTATGAGGACAAGTGCAAAGTGCACTTATGACCGTATAATATCATAGAAAGCCAGCAGAATACCGAGCTATATTAACTGAATTGTTGCTTGAGAGTCAAAAGAAGTGATTTTTTTGCTCTATTCAGTGCTCATAAGGCTTCCCCTAGAATAATGAGTCCAGAAATGTTTGGACAAATTAAAAAGAGTCCAGCAAAGAGGAACTGAAATGATGAGAGGCCTGGGAAACATGGCTTATGAGGAAAGGCTAAAAGGCCTGGGATTATTTAGTCTGGAGAAGAGAAGACTGAGGTGAGACATTATGTAGTTGTACAGATGGTGATAATAGACATTTCTTTGTGGCCACAGGGAATAGGCCAAGGAGAAGAGGTCTTAAATCGCAGCAAGGGAGATTTAGTGTGGCTACTAGGAAGAACTTGCTCCCTTTGAGGATGTTTCAGTGTTGAACCAGATACCTGGAGTGGGTGTGGACTCTCCCTCCTTGGAAGTGTGTAAGAGCAAGTTAGACAGATACTTGGGAATGATCCTGCCTTGAGCAGGAGATTAGATTAGATGCGAGTTCCTCAGTTTCCTCCCAGCCCTACTTTTCCATGATTCTGTGATTCTAGTACCTGCTGAGCTAAAATGTTCCCTTCTGGCTGCATATATTTCATTCACTTATTTTTCAGGCTGTCGTGAAACAAATGGAGAGCATCCTAGAGGTGCCATTGCTCTCAGAGGAACCCACAGAAAAGCTGAAAAAGATACTGAGCGTTATAAGAAGCCGTGACAACTGCACCTATCTGGAGGTGGTCTTCCACACTGCTGTCGTACTAAGCCTGTCCCAGCAGCCCATCACCCAAGTCTTCAGATCCATCTGCTTTCAGCCAAGTGCAGTGAAGGTAAGTCAATAGCTGGGACTCCAAAGTCGGCTGAAAAAGTCAAGATTTATAAATACCCATCGACACCCGGAGCTTTGTGATGTACCCTCAGCCCCAATCCTAGCCATGTTCAGGAAGCATTTTGGTCCCCAGAAGATTTAGAGAAGCTTTTTGGAGGCTTGGTGCTTGCAAGTGCATGTGGACTCTAACGTAGATTTTAAATAATCCCAAATGATGGCATTTACACCACTTCTCAACACCCTTGTTTTGCCTTTGTGACTGTTTTTTTCTTTCCATAATTGTCAGTCAGAGACTTGGTATTTTTTTACTTTTAACTGTAAAACCCGTTTATACTTTCCCCCACTTCCACCTTCAAAAGGACAATCCCAAGGGCACCAGGGGGTGCATCTACATGTGCATTAATGCACCTTCGATACCGCACATTAAGTTTAGTACCTCTAATACGAGGTACTAACTAAATGTGCAGTAGCCGGTGCTACTGCACAGTAGCAAAGGCACACGGTCCTCTTGTGACCCTTACTGCACAGTAGGTTAATTCTATTGTGCATTAGTGTATTAGCATGCCTTTTGCCGTGACACGCTAATGCACAGTAGAATTAGTCTACTGCGCGTTGTCTCATGTAGATGTGCCCAGTATCTCTTACTCTATGAAAATAGCATTCATCGGTTTTAAGGCAAGAACCCAACATTGCAGCCATCTAGTTTTAATGTCCTGCATCACTCAAGCTGGGGGAATGCAATCCAGCTACTGCGTACAGAGCATGGATGTCTAACACAAGGAGATGAAACCTATGCCTGGGTTGCAAGGATGAGCATTTACATGAAGGCTGGCGAGTGTAATACAAAGATCAGCCCTTCCTGCAGGTAGCGTGCTGTAGGGGTGTCTAGCATTTAAAAGACTACTGAGACTTACCTTGATGAAAGCTCCTCTGTGCAGTGTTACAGGCTGATTTTGCTTAATGCCCTGCTGTTATGTACTTGGAAACGCAACTTGGCTTCCATTTGGCGCTGGACTAACCTTGGGCTGAGCTAGGTTCTGTTGCCAGCTCTGCCAGATACTGTTTCTGTGACTAGGCAAGTCACTGAACCTGTCTCGTCCCTTGGTTTCTGCTCCCATTTCTTGTCTGTATCTTCTGAAAGTTCCCTGGGGCGGGGGTCTAGTATCGTGGCGCGTCTGGTCACCTTTACATGTGATGGTGTCCTATTCTTCCCCCTCCACTGTCAGTCTACACTGGATCAGTTCCTGAACAGGCACAGTGAGCTGCTCCTGTCCTGAGCAATAACCATGCTAAGTGCTATGGTAAAGGTGTAAAACTGTGTTTTTTCTTCTTGTTGTTGCTGTTTTGCAAGGACACATATCTTCCCACCATGCCGGGTGACCTCGTCTCTGATATGCAGAACTGGAAAATGACTGAAACTGAAAAGATGTGGAGTAAGTGTCGGGGAAATCGTTCACTAGTGTTTCTTGGGTGCTGGCCAGCATCCCATTCTCATAGCATGAGGCGTGCTTGCTTGAGGAGCTTCCATGTCCCTTGTCCCGACAGATGCCCCTTTGTAACCTCCCTCCCCGCAAGAGCTCCACGAGCACCACAGCAGAGGGGTGGTTGGGAATAAGCAGGAGGCAGATCCCTGCACCAGTCACGCTTCAGTTGGACCAAATGTCCAGTCGCTCAGGATTCAGGCCACGAGGTTATTTATTTGATGAGGGGGGGAAGAAGAGGCACACTGAGAAATCACCCCTGCCATTGGGGTTGATGGTGCCACCCTGACAGCCCCAGCAGAGTTACCCGCAGACATTCATCGATTCTCTGTTGGCGACTGGGTAATATCATTTCCTTTTCACGTGCAGAGTGCCAGTGCGGACGGTTATGGTGCGTTGAAAATGTAAGTAGCCATTAGGCGTCATCACGGCTTCTTGTTGCACCTCCTTGTCTTTGCACTGTATATGCAAACACAAGCCTAGCATAGGCCACTGGGTCCATCAAGTCCAGTGCCCTGGACTGGATTTACATATAAATCCCCGCGCAAGCCAAGCAGGCCAGACACTGAGAGGAATCCACCTGACAGCGAAGAGGTTTGCCCCGCTCGGCTGCCTGGGACGCAGTTGTTCTGGAGATTATGAACCTCCCAGTTTTCCCCCTAAGTTTATTCTTGGCCAGTTCACCCGACTTGCTCCTGTGCCATCACTGCTTGTCGCTCCAATTTAATAATTTCATAGATGTCATAGACATTAGGGCTGGAAGGGACCTCGTAAGATCATCGAGTCCAGCCCCCAATAGCTCTTCTGTCTTCCTGGTGCTTGTCTCCCTGGATGTATTTACTATCAGCAGTCAGATGCCTCTCAGCCTTTGCTTTGCCATGCTAAAGAAGCCCAGTTCCTCCAGTCTCATCTCATCTGATGGACTACCCATGTCCCTAAGCATCTGCGAACCCCTTTCTGTACCTGCCTTAGTTTGAAGTTGAGACTTGCTCCCATGGATCTCTACCGGGTGCAGAATCTCTACTTGCCGTCTGCACAAAGGCCCAGGCTGATGTTGCATATGATATGCATAGAAATATGCAATCCACACTTAAATTGCATGTAACCCTTTCTGCAGTCCGGCTCAGACCTCTGTTTTGTTCACTGCTGGTCTCCCAAGTGGTTTCCAAGCTCCAGCATGAAAAATATGGTACCCGTATGTAGCTTTGGCAGAGCTCTAAGCACCGAATGAATATGGGGCCTCCCCATTTGAGAGCAGGGCACCCACTGCCTGGGCTGAAAAGCCAGTTTTTTGTCAAGCCTGTCTGTAACCAGTCACCTACGGTGTGTGTCAACAGCTACTGAATAGAGAGTTGTGTTGAGTGGCCAAGACCAGCAGCTTCTTTCCTTTCTGGATGTAGACAGCCCTCCAAATTTCTTGAGAAACACAAGGCAGACAAGGTTCCTTGGGTGAATGTGATAGCTTTTATTAGACCAACCCAAATAGTTGGAGAACAGTTATTAAGCAAGCTTTCTCGAGAAACACATTTCACCCTTAATGCCCAGCTGGGGCCCTTTGTTCCCAGGGCATGGTGGCGTCTGTGGTCAGCTGTGGATCCACCATTTGGTAACCACTGTCCCGTGACAATAAAGGGTGCAGAATTTCTAAAAGCTTGTCACTTTGCGTAAAAAGTAGCTGTTGTTGCGCTGCCAAAAGCTTTGCACCACTATGTCTAATCATCCTCTTCAGTTCGAGCAATGTCGTTTCAAAGAGTAACTCCCCCTTGCTTGGGCTTCTAGTTAAGCAAGGGGCTTGGGGGTAGGTCTAACCCTGAGTTTTACCTACTTACACTAAATATGTGTAGGTTAAACACTCTTAATGAAAAAAAGAGCTTGCCTTAAAGGCTCCCCTTCCAAGAGGGGGGCAGCAAACTGACTTGCCTGGCTCCTTCTCCCCTTGCTGCCCACAAACTTTGCAAACTGGCTTGCTTGCTCCCCCTATTCACTGGAGCCCTGATCTATGTTTTGATCAAATCTAAAATGCCCTGTTCAGCTTTGGCAAGATGGAGTCCATCTTTCAAAATAATGTATTACCATTGCATTAGCATTTTCTAAGAGAAAAGTGGGGTTTCTTTGAGCAGCTAGAATGAAAAATAATGTGCTTGAAGGCAGCGCTC